GCCCCATAAAAAAAGTACAATTTTTAACTTTATTTTTTATTTTAAAATATACTTTATCCGTACAGTTCGTTGCTTACTTTTTTACTTTATTACATCCAACCGAACGCTCACGTAAAATATCGTGGACAATGGGACGTTATAACTCCAGAAATAAAATTTTCAATATTAGAGACTTTGGTCTATTAAAAGCTAAATAATTAACTAACCTCTAAAAATAATCGTAATATCGAGACATTAAAGTATCGTTGAAAAACAGCTTTTTAATTTGACATTAACTTTATAAATGTAAGATACATTAAAAGAAAGTCATAAGCCGTCAGAAAAGCATGAAAACGTCATGCACGGTGGGGTTGCACCTTAATGTTTACATTCTCCTTGTCCACGTTTTTTTTTTTTTTCTGACTTCTTTTTTATGACTTTGGCTTCAGACGAATGAAGTCATGCCCTCTCCATGTCTTTTAACCTCCTTGGCCGGCAACACGAACGTCCGTAGCGCCGTCGTTACGTAGAGTGTTATGCAACCGCGTTTATTTTTAACCAAAGGTACAAAACACAAATATTATGCTCATTTTAATAGACCGCTGAAACAGACCACGGTCGTCTCAGGCATTGCCGATTAATGTTAAGATTAAAGGTAATGAAAGTAAGGGGGTAGCGGCGTCTATCAACACGTGCGCCAAACGAACGCCCGGAGGTTCCAACTCCGGTCAGAAATGCCTGGGCAGCGTGAGAAAATCGTTGTTTCTTTAATATTGCGGGGATGTACGGAACGACAATAGTTTTTGACATAATAAAGGAACATTTTAGAATAATTTGCGCTAAGTTCTGTGCCACGCAAAGACGTAATTTGTTTTCTTTAATTGCCTGAGCGACATCATGCAGCAGACGACGCGGCGACGTCACACCGTTCACGTGACCCGCTCCGGTCAACCCCAAAAGTCCATCTTTGCTGCGTACAAAAATCGTCTGCTTCAAACGCCATTGCCTTGGAAATTTTCGTCTGCAAATTTTCACACACATCCGATATTATGCAAACTTTTATAAAGTGTTTAGTGCTTTACCAACTTCTCAACAGACAAGTTTCGAAAAAAAAAAATTGAACTCGGCGTTTATGTTTTAATCAGCCGTGTTGCGTCAATCTCCACGTGCTTTCCCATAAGGGAGAACACATGGAACCCTGAAAAGCACGTGACTCGCGCCGAGCTGCTCTGTCGGTCATGTTGTCGGCGAAACACGAAGATCAAAGGATTGTGTTACTTTTTACCTCGCAGTCGCAGTCCGCCGTTGGCCCTGGCAAGATATTTGGCCCTATTTTTCACAAGAGCGAGATACGCTTAGTAATTGTACAAGGTAAAACAGACCTGTGAAATACGTTTGTGACGAAAGTTTAGAGTGCTACTATGGTGCCTGGAACGCGTCTCCGACTGGTGTGTTTACCGCGCCCAAAAAAGTGGTCCCTCGATTTCCGCCTGATAATGTCATAAAAATGTCATGCTGTCGCCGGTCGCGTTCCTGGCGGCGTCCCAACAGTTGTGGTATATATGGCAGACGCCTGTTCTGCTGCAGGTCGCTCTCTACTGTGACAGTCCACGGAAACTGCAGCAGCCGGAAGTTGGGACGCCTAGAACGCCGTGACGACAGCGACACTCGCGTTCGCTCGAGCTTTTCGCCAGCATTTCTACAGCCAACCGCAAAGATCGCGACAGGCAACAACATGACACTCCGGCTTCTATGACGTCATTTGTTGCACTTGGGGACCACTTTTGATATATGGGCGAAATAAAACGCGAAACACACCAGTCGGAGACACGCCCCAGGCACCATAGTGCTACGTGCAAGCGCCGATTTATTTATAAAAAAAAAAATAAGATAAAAGAACGCCTCAAAAATTTTTATTACCAAAAAAATATCAAATTATAACTTAAAAAAAAAAAATGCGAGTAACGAAACTATTTAGAACGCCGCGTCAAAATATGGTGTAAGTTAAACGCAGTGGGGAACCACGAACGACACAACAAAACGCATACCGGCGGCGTGAACGCAGTGTGGTGAACGACACAACAAAACGCACACCGTGAACTTGATAGCGGGTTCGTTTCACACGCCCTGGCACCGTTCGAGTTCTCTCCCACGTCACATTCAATTGGGGCGCACGCAGCACCGAGAAAGTGCTGCCCCCAAGAACGCCCCACCGCGCGGGTGCAGCGTATGATGCACTTCCAAGTGAACACGAAGCATTCCGCCGTGCAACGCGCTTGGCGCGGTTATGGACACCATAGCGCCATAGCGCGGTCACTTCAAGGGCAAAACATAAACGGCTGGACCACTGAACAAAACCCGCCGCGAGTGGGGCGGCGGCGCGCGCCATCTAGCGAGAGTCTCCCGAGCCGCCATGTTTACCGAGACGTGGAAGACGAAGCGAGGGAAAGAAGGGGCCGAAGGAGGCAGAGGGCGCTAGCTCAAGGCCGCGCCGGCCCGCAGTGCGCGAAGCTGCACGGTCTCCTTTCGACGGTGCAGCTGGTGCAGCAACGCGCCGGTGTCGTGCGTCGCACCAAGTCCCAAATGAACGTAGTGCAGCCGCACCGACACGACCATGTGAATGCGACGCGTCCGTCGGTGCAGTGCGGTGCGGTGGGGTGCGCCCCAATTAAATGTGACACCAGAATGCATCGCACTCAAGAGTGTTGCACGGAAAACTGGACTCAAACGAACTCGCCAAATGCAGCGAGTGCATGGATGGATGGATGAATACGGCTGAGCCCTTTGGATCGGGCGGTAGCTTACGCCACCTAGCCATTTTGTTTTACCATTTAAGCTTAGAATATTTAAATGTGAAATCTATATTCACTCCGCAGTGCAAAGAAAGTGAGGCTATGAAACCCCCTTGCCATCAGTGATTAAGAAAATACCTAGTTTTCTCTCGATTTCTGCCACCATTCACTTAATCTTTGCTTGGTAATCTCTACAGTCTTGAAATCCACTTTCCCTTCGCTGTCTGATGGCTGCCGCCATCAGACTGATGGCTGCCGCCATCTATGTTGTAGAAAAGGTACCGACTTCAAACCGAAACTAGCGCCTTTCTGTCTGGAGTGATGCGTGGGAATGCGAGAATGCAGTCGCTACCAACGTTTATCTACAAACGTTGGTCGCTGCAACTTGTAGCTTATAGTTGCGATGACTTCAAGCAGCTAGGCTGCCGTAGAGATAATTACAAACGGCGTAAATTTCCGCAACCAGCTGTCTACAAAGCAGCTGGTTGCGATCTTTCAATTCTTATAGCCGTTTATATACTGAAGAAAACTGATGATGCTGTCCGAGCAGAAGCTTGATCCGTTTGAGCATGGTATTTATGCGTGAACCACTGTAAGGGTACGGCTTAAAACTAGCCTGTTGGAATATCCAGCAAAACTGGGACTTTCGATTTGGATCGTCATTATAGGTGGATTAGATATTAGCCTTGGTGAGGGCGTCGAGGACGAGAGTTTTCTCGAGCAAAATACGACGGGGCAAGTTAGCTGACGTAGGTAAATGTTAAACATGATGATGTTGCCCAATCCTCGGGTAAAGTCTTCATCATTAGCTTTCTCTGATGCTTATTGGGCAGTCAGAGGTTTCTGCTGGCGGAGTTTTGTCGACAAATGTTCAATTTTTCACCCGCACACGGGTGGTGATAGACATCTCGGGGGCCGCTGTTGTGTTTGTTCTGAGCATTTCTTTACACACTGGTATATTTCAGCGTCTGTATGGCAACAGAGAGACTAAAAACTTCCAAATAAAGCACGGGTTGTTAATTGCTTCCTTCATGAAACAGCAGTCGCTCACAATTCAAGCTCGCGTTTGAATGCGTTGCCCGCGGGACACGACTTCTAGTAGAAAATCCACTTTTTTTTTTTTCCTTTCGGTTTTACTGTACGAATGCCACATCGTAGCAGACGACCTCTTGTCGTCTGCTTCCACTCCTCTCCGGAGCGGAGCTGGAGGGGCATGGCGGGATAGACCCGTTGCTCTGGAGCAGGGGGCGCGAGCGCATCCGCAAGACGCGACCATGTTATGATGGCTGAACCATCCAGGTGGTTCTGTAACGTTCGATTTTGCACGTGCCACATTCGAATGCAAGCATCTGAAGATGCGCAATAACAAAACCTCTAAAAAAAAAAAAAGAATTATGCAGCTCGCGGCCGAAACATTCCTTTAATCTTTGCCTTTTTCCATAGCTTCCGCCAGCACGGATGTTTCACTCTACGTGATAGCGAAGCCGAAGCTACTCGCAAAAGCACGTCCTCCTGAAAGATGCTCGCACTGCACGAGCGAGCGTGCTTGACAGGGACGCTGAAAGCTCGCAGCTCGCTCTTGTAACCTCTGCTACGCTGGCACTTAGAATGAAACTGAGTAGAAAAAAACTATAGTGGGGGAAGCTTATTGACGCATGTTCGAAACCCAAGCCAAATATTCTATTTTGCTCGCCTGGAGCGCTGCTCAAAACTTGAGAGCTACGGCAGCTACGGGCCTATATTGCATTTGGGCGCACGATCGATTTTCTCGGTGCAGAAAGTGCATGCACGGGTGGGGTGTCGGCGCTGAAACGAATTCGGCGGGTGCAACAACTCGTGGAGTGTCGGCCGAAACAAACCCGCACCGCACTGCGAGTGGACAGGCGTGCGCACGTATGCCGTGAAACGAACCCGCTATAAAGCTACGAACAGATAATCGTGCCGATCGCGCAACCAAGTTGATGAGTTGGGATTCCCGGGTTTTGCTCCTGTGCCACACTTTAGTTGCTTTACTCGCTACCTTCCAGATGGCGCGAGCAACTGTCTCTGTCCAGGAAAACGGCTATTTACGATAAGTTTTCATCGCAACTTCTATAAATAATACAGAAATTAAAGGACGCCTCTTATTTTGCAAATTACTATTTTCCTAAAACGAACTAGTAAAAAGGGGCTCTACTTTTATTTCTTGTTTCATCTCTTCCCATGATTCCAAGTGGCATAACATTTTTTGTTTAATAAATGGTCAGCCATCTTGGGAGACGTCAGTTGGTCTGTATGCCGTTAATAAATCTCCGTGCATCGGAAAAGGCGCTCGTCGAAAACGAACTACATGGTGTGCGTTTGAGTCTACAATATCTGTTCTCTATCTCCGTAAGTGCATTTCATATATGCTGCCCTTTCTTGCTAGGTTTTAAAAGTTGCTGCCTTCGACGTCTCTTCCTAACGTCCAGTGTCTACGCCTCTGCATTTTCCCGTACATATCCGATATTGCTTGCGTTCCCAAGTCACATGAGCGTTACCAACCCGTAGAAAGAAATTTGAACGGTTTCAAGCACATTCTGGTGTATCTGTGCAGTTCAGCCATCGCCGACAAAAATTCCGCCGTAGGCCTAAGTTTCGCTGCTTGGCTTGTTTGTCTCTTGGTTTTTGGCACTTTTCCTGGTCGCTGCTCCTCGTTTACGCCAGCTCACAGGTTCAAAAGCCTTCGTTCGGTGTCTTCCCTTTGTTATAATAGAATCCGCCTCGCCTAAGTCCAGCTGGCCTGCATTGTCTCGTGTCGTTGGTAGTTTTTCCGGATACCTTAGCCGATGCACAAAGGTGCGTGCTTACGCTTTGTGTGTCATGCCTCGCCAGTCGGGGCAAATAAAGGCCGTTACTTCTCATATTCCATAACATAGTTCAAGTTTTGTTTTAAGATGTAAACTAACAATCGTGTAAGAAATTTTGGCGCCCGTAGTGCGGCCAACTTTGAACGTTGTACAACCCTTCTGGCGGTTTTGCCCTTGCGGATGCACGCAACGGATATTGGCGAAATTTTAGCTCGTTAAGGCAAGCGAGTTGCGAGGTTCAACCTCCTGCGAACGGCGCTTCGCAGCCGTTGTAGTGATTTCTACTGCGTTTAATGCAGAGAAGATTTCATATGCCTCCCCCCCCCCCCCCCCCCCCCCCTTTTTTTTTTATTCTGTATGGAGGTTTTGAAGTTTGTTCTGGCTCGTTCGTTTATCAGTGCCTCACGGACTTGCTCGTATCAGCGTTGTTGCTATGTGCCGAAGTTTGGCCTCCGTAGGGAGACTGCGGACATGCCTTTTCTCGAAGTTTGTGTGGTTTCACTAGTTGAATACTGCTAGTACACTAAAAAGACCGGGTCACTTTTTTCGTGGGTAGTGGTACTTGGAGCAAAGAAGTTGATCTACTCCGGGCTTCAAACTGGTAATTTGTTAAGGCCCGTTCACACTCTTGCAACCGAGTACGACCGAGAGAGACCAAACCGGTTTTTAAGCCTCTTGCGATCTCTTAGGACCAGCTCCGCTCAGCGTATCCGGTCTCAAGAAGTCTTTCTCGGTCGTACTCGGTTGCAAGAGTGTGAACGCGCCTTTACAGTTACGCTTACCTTGCCTTCCGGTGGATTATGGGAAATATTAAAAAGCATAGACAGGTAGCTCTGTTAGATGGACCCAAAGCATTGGTGTGCACAACTGAGTGCTAAAAGAAGCTCGCACATCTAAGGCTGAACCGCATGTAAGCAATTTATCGAGCAATGAAAGCTCACTGTTGCTCGTCGCGTCGCTCTGTTTTTGGATTTCTAGAAAACGTTGCTCATTGCCTTGGTCGCTTGCTTCTGTCGCTTTCATGCAGTTTGCCTCGTCGATTGAGCGATGGCGAAGTGGGTTGCCGTCGGTTGTTTAGTCGCTTGCTAAATAGCTTTCTTGCAATTTATACTTAATACATAGCCTTTGCTCTGGTGCAGGTTTTGGTGGTTTTAAGTATACCAGGTTGTGGCAGTTTTATTGCTGGTTATTGTTTGGTGCAATCCCGGCATGCTAAGAGTTTTCTCTTGAACTGGCGACTTCAGGTCGTTTAATTTGCATGCTTTTTTCTTGCTTCGGCATTAGTTTAATGGGTGTGTCCCAGCTCGATCCTCCGGCTATGTCCAATGCATAGTCACCATTCCAGTGTTGGGTGTTGCAAGACTGTCAGCAACCCGTGAGTGTTAAGGCACCCTAGTACCGAGCACTGGTGTGGATTCGTTGCTGCGGGAAAAATCTTGTCTGAGGGAGGAGCTTGTGTCGATCCTTTAGGGAGGGCTTTGTGTTTTCCATTCTCTCTTCAAGGCATTGGTGGGCCTGAACTTGGTTTTATTTTGCAGGGCAAAAATCCCAAGGACACTGCCAGATAGAACGAGGTTGTCGGAGCCATCCAAGATGTCGAGTGTTGCAGAGAACTCTGACAACCACACTCCCGACAAGTCAATGAACCACACCAACAACATCAGGTTTGTGTAGCCCCTGATTTGAGGGGACTTTCTTCAGGGACTGTTTTGGGCTGTACAAGTCTTTTTTTTTTTTTTTTCCAAGTTCTAAAGGAAGCACCAACAGTTTTCTTTTGGTTAGCATTTATTGTATAGAGTCGTGCAGCTTGATAGTGTTCAGTCTCCATATGAAGGGGGGGAAGGAAGGAAGGAGAGAGAAGTATTGCACTCTCCATTTGTGGAACATTTGTCAGATTTCTGTCACGTTACTCCAGGATTATAGGACGCATAGGCATGTCTTCTTAAAATGGAGTTGTGCAAAATTGCATTTCCCTTTGTAAGTGTTGTGTGCCATAAACCATTTGCATACTGCAAGCTTTTTTGTGGGGCTAACGGGTTGAACTAAAGCCCCTTGATAAAGGATTTTTTTTACAAGTACCGCCAACCATTGTGAGAATGCTCAAGACGGGTGCCACGAGCGGGTGGCTGGTTTGTCGCATACCAGATGTGACAAACCAGCCTCCTCCATTGTGCAAAGAGAATTTCACCCTTAACCCCTTGCCTACTCATTTTTTTTCTTTAAAGATCGTACAGAAAGCTTTATTTAAATCAAGCTATTTGCATCAAAATAAAGAAAAACGTTTCCTTGGCTTTCAGGCGTAGTCTCGTGCTCTATACTAGGACTTCTGGTCATCTCCTCTTCTTCAGTAGTTCTTCGCAGTATGATAGAAATCGAGAGATTAGCAGAAACCTCACATAGGACATCGTTTTGCCGAAAATTGGGGTCTCCACTATGGACCTCTTGGACCAGTTCATTTTGACTGTGTTTTTTCACTTGCGTCATAATGATGCACAAGGCAAAGTATGCCTTTATCTCATCCGGAGTGGTGTCAAACCATTGCTCCTCATAGCATTTCTTGGGACGATCCTCGTCGCCCATCTCTTGTTCGGCGTAGCGATTTGTCTCAGCAGAGACAGACGCCCAATATCATGACTTGCAAACACGGAAAAGGTCGACAAGGCGCTTGTCTTCTCACTAAGACTGCGCTGAACCCTTGCTGACACACCTGGGGCTTCTACAAAGGTGAACTGAGCAGGCTGGTTGTCCCTCTTCTCCCAGTTCCACTGACGTGCAGACGCCGAAGTCGATGAAACGCTTCCAGGATTCGCATCGTTTTCAACACTTTTTTCACTGTCCGTTGAACTCTCATCGGATTCCGAGTAATCGGAAAGGCAGCAGGATTTGTCGTCAGAAATACAGGCGCATTCATCACTTTCAAAAAGAAGTCTTTGTATATCTTCGTCCGTCAAAGCAGACCTCCGCGCTGAAGACATGTTTTTGGCGCGCTTGCTTACAATAGCGCGCTTATTTTTTGTCAGTGGAGCGCCCTCTCTCTGTCAAAAGGCAAAGCAAACAAGAAAAGAACCCAAGGTAAACAGAAGCAACAGGGGTAGTGCTGCCATCTGCCGCAGAGCTCACAAAACAAGCTCTGAAACCGAAACGCGAGTCACACTCGTGGTCGGGTTTTATGGTCCGTAAATGGCGGCACGAGTGACACTCGTTATTAGTAGGCAAGGGGTTAATAGCCAATTCGTCTGGGCCCGCATTGCACCGGTGCAGTGCGGTTCGTGGCACATGGAAGGGGAGAGGGGACTTTCCTTCTCTCCCTGCCAGTCTTTCGTGTACTAAAGTGGAAAGAGTTTACTGCACTGGACGGGTGCGGTGCGGGCCCAGACGAATTGGCCGTTAGACGTGATTGTGGTGAGTTTACTGCATCCTCTTTAGCGGTTCCTCGATATCCGCCTTGAAACGTCGCATTCGTGTCGTGCTTTCATTTGCTGTGGTGCTGGCTGGGGCACGGCAGCAGAGCTGGGTACAGCAGACTCTGGTGCTGTTGTAGGCAGACAGTTTGCGGAAACTTTGAAAAACGGGAGTTGGGACGCTTCAAAAACGGTACACTTGTATTCACCAGTCTTTTTTTGTTTTATTTTTGTCGGAACTTTTGCAATTAACTGACGGAATTCACAAGATGCCAGTACTTTGGACATCAGTTGTCACTTCGGGGCCACTTTTGATGCAAGGGCAGCGTAGGACGCTAAGCACACCAGTCAAGACCCAATCCAATCAGGCGGAGGTGGAGGAGAGAAGGTGTTAGACTGAGTACTAATTTCTTTTATATAAATTGTGACAGGTAGTGAGACTGCAGGTTTGTGGAAAGAAATCGGTACCCAGCATTAAAGATTCACGATTGTGGGAGGCCTTTTCGCTCGAGAAAGGAAGTCCAAGAGGTGGTTTGCATGCTCTGTGCTCTTCGGTAGATTTGAGTCAATGCAAGGCTTCCCTGCAACCCCACATTGCACCGCGTAGTATGTAAAACTTTGGGGCTATTCTGATGTACATTCGGGCAGGCTTTTCGTACATCCTGGTGAGGCATGATCCCTTCTTTCCTGCCAGTGTAAGTTCAAAAGACAAAAGAAAACCGAAAGCTGATCCATGCTCTGTTTTGTTGTTATCCGTTTGCTCTCTTGGTGCTCCAAGACCGGAAAATGCTAAACCAACATAAACTTCTATTCGTAGGTTCATATGCCATGCATCGCAGTGATGCGTTGAAAAGCTGATACGGGTATGCACATATTTCTAGAATGGTGTGTCAGAGGCAAAAAATGTTGATCAATGCTGAGGTTTTGGGATGTCTGCCAGTTTTGCACTAGAATCTGAATTAATAGGGCTGGAGAAAACATGCCTCCTTTCAGAGTGGCAACGGCACATATTGGACGCATCTTTAGCATCTGCGAGGTTGAAGCATGCCTAATAACTTGCCACTCGAGATCTGTAGTAAGTCACCTCCAGCGCGAGCTTACTGCTTTCGATAACACTTCTGCTCCTCTCGAGTACACACAGTTTAAGCATGACGGAAGGCACTGAGTCCATGCTAGCGCAGAAGTGCTCTACATTGCAGCAAACTGTCGACGGCACTTCACGTGGGGCAACTCCACAGGTACCTTACCGCGTGCACGGTGGTGTTGGCAGTAGAGGTGGTTCTTATGAGGAGGGAGGCAAGAGGTGCGAACTCTGCCAGCCCGGTTCCCTATTTTGTAACTTGTAGGTCTTCCCGAACGTTTCAGGTAGACCTTGGAATGTTTCGTGCACACGGCAAGTCAACCTCGGGGCTTCGTGTGGAAGCCGCCTGCGCTGCCAACGTGGCCAGGCGTGCAGCAGTACGCCCAACGACCTACTCAGATGTTCACGTGATGAGAATGAGGGTTGAGATTGAAAGAAGCCAGAGGCCCTTTTTAGAATCAACGAAGTTTCCTGGTCACCTCATCAATTCAGTTGGGATACCACATTTTTTGCAGCTGTAAATGAGCCAGTAGAATGGTCCCCCCCTGCCCCTTCTGGTGACCTTTCTTTTCTTATTTACCCTATGCTGCTAACTTCAGTAGAATCCCATTATAATAACGCCGCATATATTAAAACTTTAGTTATAGTAAAAGGAATCGTCGGGCACAATTGAATTCCCATTTCCTCCATGGCTCAAAATTCTGATATAGTAAACCGTCAACACTCTGAATATTGGTTATAGTAAAATGCAGCAGTGCCGATAAAATGTTATTTCCCCACAACAGCATAATTTCTCAATGAGATTGGTGTTGATCGGCTTCTAGAAACTCTGGAAGTGTGCACTAACTACCAAGGCGCTACAGGCTACAGTGCTACGTCGTAAGACTGCTTTCCGAGTGGTGCTGCTGTTGCTTGTGACTGTTTCCGTTCTCGGGGGCACGCAATCATCTGTCCAATCGGAACAATAGTCCTAAAAGAATGACAAAGTGATGCTTTTTTTGGGGGAGGAGGAGGAGGAGGAGGAGGAGGAGGAGGAGGAGGAGGGAGGGAGGGAGGGAGGGAGGGAGGGAGGGAGGGAGGGAGGGAGGGAGGGAGGGAGGGAGGGAGAGGGGGTGTTTGGGACTGAACTGTGCGTCACGACTGATCCGCATGCTTTACGCTCGTTTAAAAAACGGGTAACTACGGAACGCAGAAGCAAATTGTGGATGAATTTGGCGTTTTTGTTGCAACAATGTTGGCCTTGGGGGAAAACAAAGCGTATTGAGGACGTAATTGCCGATTGAAACTGAAAGCTGCAAAAAGCTCCGAAGCTTCAAAAAGGGAAACGTTGATGCAGTGCTACTTGAATGGTTTTGACACGTGCGCTGCAAATGGGCCTGTTACGAGAAAGACTTCGAGGCATCAGACGGATGGTCGGAAAGTTTCAAGGCGGGGAACTGTCCCCGTTGTCATCCGACGTCGGGTGACTAAGGCACCGTTTTCGACGCACCTGTTGAATAATGAACTGAGCAAGTGCTACCCAGAGGAACCTGAACCCACTCCAACAAGAAGTGAACTCTTGTTGGGTTTGGGCAGTTGGGATGACTCTAAATGCAGCAGATGCTAACGGGCAACACTATGCCCACATCACAAGCCTGAAGAGCTTCCTTGTGAAGTATTAAACGTCTACAAAACAAGTTTTGAGTTCAGTGCAACCTAAGTGGTATTTTTATAGTTGTGGTGTTTGTTTTTGGATTAATAAATGTTTTATTAATTTCCACTCCCTTTTTAGAGCTTCATTAACAGATTTTTTAAGGTGCTCTCGATGCAGTAAAATTACATCCCGGTCCCGACAAGTTTACTGTAAAGGGTTTCTACTCTATTCTACAAATTAAGCTCATTCTGAGCAGGTATGGAGGAGCAACAAAAGCCATACAGTTTTTTTTCTCTAATTTTTCATTTTGGTCTTAAATTTTCTTTCAAGCACTTGTGTGTAACCAGTTATACACTTCATGAACCATAGTTGCTGACAAGACAGGAACGACAGGAAGGCCTTCCCGCCTCTAGTGTGAGCTTCTTGCCTTCGATAATGCCTCGCTGATATCGGCGAGACTTGTGCGGGAAATCGGAGAAGTGCGTCGAAAGCAGCCAGTGTGGGCTGGAGGCCCGACTTCCGAAAGAAATTGCTGGCCATTCTTGTCCTGCCAGAAATTTTCTAGGAGATGGGGGGGTTTGCCCGGCAGTTTATATGCTCATGGGTTTGGTGCGCTTTTTTGCAGGGATGTTGTGGACGAAGGCGGCTGGAAAGCGAAGCTTGTTATTCCCCCCCGTGACATGAGAAAGAAAACTTCGGTAAGTGACGGGTCCCTCTTCGTGGTTTCTCGTGGAAAACTTATCCCCTCGGCCAGTGTCCACGAATGGGTGTAAAGCCGGTATTCCAGGGTCAAGTGGGGACAACGTTGGTAAAAGAAAGCGCAGGAAGCAATTAACGGAAGTTTCTTCGGGAAGCGGGGTGTTCGGGCCAACGCAGTAAGGCTACTTCAGTTGTGAGGACTTTGAAAGCTCGATGGAATATTTTTATCTAGGCAGAATGCTGTATGGTGTCGAGACACTACACACCTACAACCTTTGCTGCAGTCTTGTATTTGCTGAGAACGACAAAAGTCGTACTGAAGCCAGGGGACCGGTGTGTGGCACGTATATGGGTGTCTCTCTTTGCTTAGTCTCCCCCTGGAACTATGCTGTTGAAACTGGCACATTTTGGTGCTTTAGTTTTTGTAAAAAAGTGTTTCGTTCGCATTTGTAAGAAATTTATTTGTACGTTGGCTTCATTGGATTTGTCCGCATAAAAACGCCTTGAGCAGACCCGAGCCTCCAGACTCGTGCCTGTTGTTTTCATTAGGGGTGTGACATCTGCGCCAATTGCGCCATTTTGATACAAATCCAATTTTCTGCGCCTGTTGCGCCAAAAACACGAAATCGGTCGAAATTGTGGCGCACTGCGCCAAAGTAACAAAAACAACAAAAAAAGTTTGTGACGACGCTGGATTTAGCAGGAAACGAGAGCTTGGTTGGCAACGTTCAATCTTTTCGTAGTAAAGTACACGGCACGGGTACACGGTGGCGCAAGCAACCGCCGGATTCAAAGATTTAAGCTGTAGTACCATTCTATACCCATGATACGTGGTCTCTTCATGATTTTCATACTACTTTTTGCTGTCAATTATGACTGCATACAAATGGCGCGCTGTCACGCCGTCTCGCTGTTGGGCTGCGAGAGGTATGACGCACAGGCTATCAAGATAAGGAAACCTAAGTATTTCTTTCGTTTTGAGAGTAAACCTTTTCTTAAAAGTGCTATTGAGCACTTTCATTGTGTAATTGTTCATTTGTGTCCGTAATCTTGTCAAAACGGACGTCGCTGTCGCCGTAAGATATCTTTCGGTCATCACACACTTGCTTCCAGCGCATGAGCAATCTAGTGAATCTGTCACACACCCGTATTTAGCGTGCATGTGCACGTGCTGATAGTTTTTCTACCAATTCGCTATTTACCTTGTGACTTACTGGTGCAGAGAATTCTCCTATCTGCACGTGCCTTCTACGGGCGTCTGATCAATATCTGGTTGTAGTAAACCGTGCTTCCCTGTTCATGCTCTCGAATCACCGCTTTGGCACCAGTTCATATAAGCGTGAGGTACCTAGTGCCCACCTAACTTTGCAGCAAGCCTGTGTTTCCTGTCCTAGTCTATGTACACAAACTCTCGTTTGCCTTTTTTTTAAATATTTTACCTCGGTGCGTATCAGCGCTGCTGATTTATTGGAAACCAGAGTGGAGAAAAAGAACGATTAAGAAATAAAGATTTATCATTTATGGGATTTAAATTAATTTTTTTATTATTTCAGTTGCTGGATAAGGCTGCTCTAACATTTCCTGCTCCTAATCTGCTCCAAAACAAGAAATTTGTGCTCCTAAGCTGCTCCAAAATCCAGATTTTTCTGCTCCAAAAATTGCTTCAAAACCTGTTTCACCTGTCTCACCCCTGCCTGTTTCATGCAAGGAACTCACCGTAATTTGCACCTCAGACGGACTTTCAATCAGGGTGGGGTGTGTCTTGCAGGATGTGACAGACACGAAGGGCAACGAGTTTGAGGACTTCTGCCTGAAGCGGGAGCTGCTGATGGGCATCTTCGAGAAAGGCTGGGAGAAGCCCTCTCCCATCCAGGAGGCAAGCATCCCCATCGCCCTGCTGGGCAGGGACATCCTGGCCAGGGCCAAGAACGGCACGGGCAAGACGGGCGCCTACATCATCCCCATGCTACAAAGGATCGACGTCACCAAGGACCACATCCAAGGTGGGTCCGTCTCTCTTGCCCCGCCCTGCGGCCGCTTTGGAAGATCACTCGTGGCTAGCCCATTCTCCAAGACACAGATTTCTGACAAGAGTACTACATTGGCGTTCAGCTAAGCTCATGCTCAGGTGGTGAGGACACAATTCAGAGTCTGAACATTGGGCATTCAAAAGTTGTTACTGCACATCCATACCGTAAAATGTTGAGGAAGTACCCACATTGTTCAAGTGCCCACTATAAACGTGTTCCAAACTTTGAAATTCTGCAGATTATACATTGAGTGCCCGATTTGACCGGACAAGCGCCCATGTCTAGATTAATCCAGCCTTCAGCGAAAGTGGGGTGGGTGCTTCGCCGTTATTTTACGGTAGGTCACATGCAAAATCCCGTACTATGGCCTTCTTTTATAGAAGTATCGTGTTGTAGTGCCATCCTTTTCGTCAGTGTGTGCTTGAGGCTCCTCGGGCACCATGGCTTCCAGGTAGCTGAAGTGTGTAGCATTTATTGGTTAGTAATGTGTTGGCATTAGTACTTGCATGACAGGAAAAAGCTGAGGCCCTCCATCTGCAGACTAAACTGTGGAAAGAGAAGCACACCGCGTAGAAAGGAGAGTAGTGAAGGACAAAGGCGGAGAGGAGACGTCATGGGGCAGAAGCCAATGCATCTGCGGGAAACTGGTGAACAGTGAAAGCAGTGTCAAGTGGATGCCGCTGTTCCTGTCTCGTTTGCCCAGGCGGGCGAACGAGACAGGAGTGGAAGCAGCACCTAGCTCGGCCAACCGAGCCGACGTGGGGCTGCGTGCAACAAAGGCTGGTGGAAGCACGAGCCTGCTTTGCCGTTAAAATGAAGGGAAGATGCATTGGTGGATCCTTGGGGAATGCATCAGCATGACCTTTGGGATATGCCACACGCGTCCCCCTTTGGGAAACACTGACACTGACCCCGTAACGAAGCCAAGAAAGAGGCAGCAAAAAAATGGAAGAAGCAAAAGAGAAAGCTAAAACAAAAAATTGAAGGGGTCAGCGTTAGCGTTTCCCAGTGGGGAATGTGTTTGGTGTTTACCAAGGGTCATGCTACTGCATTCCCTAAGGATCCACCAATAGATCTTCCTTTAATTTTGCTTTGCTTAAGGGGGGACATGGGTCCTTGGAGCCAAAAACGTCCTAAAACTGTATTTTTTTGAAAATGGCGATGGCTGTTGTTGTTCTGAATTTACCAGGCTTCTAATTTTGTGGGTGAATATTTGGGCTATAAATCGACTAATAATCTATGCGGGCTGAATGGGAGTTGAAGTTGAGACTAAAACATTGCTTTCACAAGACACAATTTTTGGACTCGTGAAAAATTTGCAGGAGGGATATCTCAGCATCCAGAGCAGATAGAAATATAACCTTTCCTGAAATGTGTAGCTAAATGTGTGAAGCATACAATGTTGAGAACAGATTCTCTAATAAAAGTCTAGAAAATTTTCTATTTGATCTTTTGTTTTATTACTTGTTAGCCATGCATTGAGCACTGAACTTCAATGTGTGGTAAAATCACTAATAGTGGGTTTATCTTAAAAGTACTTCCAACATTGTATGCTCTACACTTCCTAGTATCTAGCGATGTGTCAAAAAGGATATTTTGTTGAGCAGTTTTTTCCTATCGTTCCTCCAAGCAAAGGCATTCAAGTTTTAATTACCTTGAGGACAATTCTCCTGACTGAGAAAATGACCAGATATATGAAATCAGCACAAAAAGCTGAACAAGCTTATGCGGTTTCACTGGGTTTGGTCACAGAATAAGAAAAAAGCTCCAAGACCAGTGTTCCCCCTTAAACTTTGCTGTTAGAGCTGCATTGCTAAACCAGCCTCGCTTGTCTTTGTAGACATAGCTGCGTACCAAGTGGCCCCATTGCGATCAGGTTGCGAAGGGCACCAGGGATGTTCTTGTTATACTTGGTCAGTTCAGTCTGCTGACCGTAGAGTACCGTGCATCTGCCCACGCCACAACACTAAGGGCCCATTCCCAGGATCTGAGAAAATCCACACAATACATTTATATGTAAAATTGATCACCAAAGAAGGGCCCATCCCCCATTTTATTGTGCGATCATCTCCAAAGTTTGAGTGGGCGGTTGCCCGGTATTTGACGGTAAGTGCTTGACTTTCACTTCTCTTGAGTATAATCTGCAATTTTCGAATAAAGGGCTGCCCGGCAACTGTCTACCTAGTTAAGAGAGCACCCAGATATCTTTTTCTTTCTTTGCTGGTTGAGGAGGGAGTAAAGATGGCTCAGTATGAATAAGGCTAAAAGTGATTATCTACAATGGGCACAAGATGTTTTAGGAGATAAAGTTGTGTCACCGGAGCTCAATGGAGCAAGCTTAATATAGCTTCATTGCCCGAGGTCTGGTAGCCTGCATGTTCCTGCAAAATATAGGAGCAAAGTATTTGGGAAATGGTAGATTGTTGGAATAGAATTGTTCTTGAATGGCAAGAGTTGTCACATTAAGAAAGGTATTCTCACTACCATATTCAAGTCCTGCAGAAAAATATACAAAGTTAGAGGAAAGAGGCTGGTCACGTTTTCCGGATACTTTGGTGCTGAATTTTTAATTTTATTGAAAAAAGTTATTCTTATTACCTTCCGAAAAACGAGATTTTTAAGGAGTTCCTTACGCTACTGGTGCATTTGGGACGTGCCATATTTACCTTAAAAATCTTCAATACCAAAAGTTGTCAGAGCTCATTTGTGGATCCAAAGCTGCACATGTGATGAGTTCATCCAGTTCTGCTACAGAACCTCTACTGACGACACAAATACCAAACCTCTGACTGTGCAGCGGATTTCCTTCCCTCTTTGTGCCCCCCATGTTGTGTTGTCCCTGCTGCAGCGTTGCTGAGTGGTCCCCCCGTCACCCTTGTGTTTCAGCCATGGCGATAGTGCCGACGCGCGAACTTGCCCTGCAGACCAGCCAGATTTGCATTGAGCTGTCCAAGCACCTCAAGGCTCGAGTGATGGTCACTACTGGCGGCACCAACCTCAAGGATGACATTATGCGTATCTACGAAAACGGTAGGTCGCCAGCTTCATTTTTGCGCCAGTGTAGGCAGATCTGAGGTGGCGTTTTCTGGTTGCTGCCTTGGATGTGGTCGCTGAAACTTGTGGGAAATGCCTATGCGAAAACCGACAGCATCTTTCGCACGCTTGCGAGATTTTTACTTGCATTCTACTGTCTGTGGTGGTGGTTCCATCAAGGCACCCTATTGGTAGTTAACAATGGGTACAAGAGCTGTAAAATGTTTTTGTGTCACTTCTCACCTAGCAGTGGGGTGTCCTGAAAAATAAATCAATGATGCTTTATGAAACTTCGTCCAGTTTCCCCTTTCTTCCTTTCTTGTGGAACTGAAGCTGCACATGTGATGAGTTTATCCAGTTCTGCTACAGAAGCTCTACTGACGACACTTGTACCAACCCTCTGATTGTGCAGTCTTCATTTTAATATTCCTCATCAATCAGTTCCCTAATATGCTGCATTTTAAGTCTCCACAGCAGCAGCCAAGTACTGCAGCTTTTTATGAAATGCTAGACTGCCAAACTTGCCAAATGCTCTAAAATAAGCTTTTTTAAGGGTATCTATCGTATCTGTAGGAACTTTGTTTTCATAAATCTAAAAGATGTTTGCCTTGCACCAACTCTTGCTATGGAATCAGCTAAACAACTCGTGTGACGTGACTTCTGCGGAGTTGTGTGACGAGGGGTTTTGGGCAGATGAATACCCCGGACACTTGTGTAATGCAGTGTAAAACACAGGTATTAGCTGATAACCAATATTAGCCCCGAGAACTTCGCGTGGCGCCCCCTTACGGCGAACCGGGGTGACGTCACGGCGAAGAGAGTATTTTTCCCTGGCTCCCCCCGCTCGCCCTGTGGAGGGTGTGACGACACTAGCTGTCGGTGCGCTCGTTTCTATTTAATTTTTTTTTGCGTGTTTTTTGTAGGAAGTGTAAATTTTTATATGTGCCTTTATTGAGGTATGGCCTATAGCTACAGGCGAAACTTCAACCAGCATTTTAAGCATGGTTGACACGGCAGGCAACGCATGAATCACAGCTGGTATATGAAAATAAAGTAAGGCCACAATAAATGCTGCTGATGGTCTGAATGAATTGGCAGGTTATCTATACCATTTTTGTTTTGTATCTCTGTTTTTAAACAAGATCGCCGAAGAGCTGCATGCTGCTCGAGCAACATGCTAAATACAGTCTGGGCCATGGGGAGAGAATCACAAGTAAGACAGTTCAAGTGCAGGGGCAAAGTAAGAATACAAGGAACATTTATTATATACATTGCTCGCATTTGACCTTTGCTGGATTCGGATTGTATTTCAATGGACTACACGGGTGGTATGTGTGGACTTGATATCAGCCCTCAACTAATGTATAACAAACGTAAGCGAAGGTGTATAGCTAGTTATTAGTCCCTTATGCCCTAAAATTGATATTTTACTTAAATCAAATGGTCCTGAAACTAAAATACCAGAAGCTTTTCTCACGCAGACTGTCGCCCTTCACAAGTTCAACATTTTCTGCTACTAGTGCTGCATCTACCACTGGACAAACGTTCGAATGCTTGCTTTTACTCCTGTTTTCCTTGTCAGAGAGTCAAGCTGTAGGGAATTTGGAGGCTCGGGAAGCTTTTGGGGACCTGCAGCAGTGCCTTTTTTATTTGGAAATGACAATTCAGACTAAACGGTGTATTTTCCGAATATCCAAGTCTAGAATAAAGAATGTCAGGAAAAAAAGTATAAAGATTCCAAATTACGGCACTATTGCTGTGCATATTTTGGGCAGTTTAGTGCATATACAGGCAACTGGGGGCAATTCGGCCGTTTTTGCTGCTACCATACAAACTAATTTCCAGTAATTGTGCATCTTCTAAGAAATATGCCTGCACACGTGTATAAACTATATAATTAATTCACGAAGAAACTACATTTATGTAGAACAACCCTGTTCGACGAGCACTTGAAAGATAATCAGACACAGGGCCTTTAAATTTAAAAAATCTGCGAACCAGCGCATGCAGAGTGGCAGCACAGAGTCGGAGTCGCGAGCTAATTTGCCGACCACCCAAAGGCCCATGATATAAATGCCACTTCAAACGCCTTGAAAGCGGGATGTAATATCGTCCTAAATCATGAACATGCAAGGAACAGAATTCCAGCGTCTGAAACACTTGCGCCACCGCTTCACCGACCCTTCGCAGATTGCCTTGTGTCGTGTGGACGGACGGGGAGGTTCATCAACTGAATTGCCTCCGCCGATTGCGTTCGGGATTTGTAACCCAACTTTAAAAGTAAAAGGGACGAGCAAACTGATAAAATGTACGGAAGGAGGTCAATATCGGCCTAACTCAACGTCTTGTACACCGGGTAAACGAAGTCCAGCTCCTCGAAGAGCTTGCGGCACACAACGCCAAACCAGGAAACCGCCGCTGGGAAGCAAGCCGATGTGAGATCGCGGAGCGGAGTCCTCCCCCTGACGTCACGATACACCTCACCGAATCAGGGCGCGGCGACCGCAGCGACGCTTGTGTTCGCTCTCGGGGCTAATACTTTGCACACTAGCATCGGGGAAATACCTTGCCTTTCTCTAAGGGTCCATTTTCTGATTTTGGCAAGTTTGTCTTTCGGTATTTTCACTCCCATATACTCATTTTTTTATATATTGCAGCGCAGTATATGAAGGTGCTGATTGATTTGGCTCGTGGGGCCTGCGCTAAAATGCATTTCCTTGTGGCATCGGTTTCGATGACATGCTCCCTGTTCTGTGTACGCAGTGCACGTAATAATTGCCACCCCTGGTCGCATCCTGGATCTCATGGAAAAGCGCGTTGCCCAAATGGACAAGTGCAGCATGCTCATCCTGGATGAGGTACGTTCTGGGGGGGAAGCTTGTGGAGCCCGCTTTTTAGGGGGACAGTGTTTTCCGGTCTGGTTGCTTTCATGATGAGAACTAATTGTCAGTTCTGCTACTGAGGCATGACACTGCTGACACAACTTCTCCACTTCCTGAGAAGCAACCCAAGAGGGACATCCGAGGTGGCGAGAGGCTTATAAATACTCGCATTACCTACCCGTAATAAGTAAAATATGTTTACTTTCCTTTTCACTTTTTTTTGTGGGGTGGGGGCATTTGTCTAGTATTTGTGAGCTCTGTAGAACTTCTAAAAAATCGCCTTTTGCACGCTGCCATCTTTGGCTGCTGGGCTGTCCATTGCCTTCTAAGCATCCGCTGTTGCTCTTCTGCGCGATATATTCGGACGCTGCGCGTGCGCCCCTAGCTCTCTGCATTTTTCGCCCGGGTGGTAAGCAACGGGAAGGTTTATAGTTTGTGAGAGCAACATTTTAATGTGAAGTTGTCCTCCACATCTTCTTGAGACTTGCATTTATCTGGCTTCAAACGTTGCATCAATGTTTCTTATCCGACTTATTTGGAATCTGTTTTTTCTCTCACCCGTTGCCCTTTGGGTGTGGGTATGTGGGTGGCCGGTGCGGTAGTGCCTGAACAGGGAGGGCTTTTCCTTTTCAGGCGGACAAGTTGCTGTCCCAGGATTTCAAGGGCCTCCTGGACAAAGTGATCAGCTTCCTTCCTCAGGACAGACAAATCCTCCTCTACTCTGCCACATTCCCCCTGACTGTGGAACAGTTCATGGTGAGCCTGCCCCATCTCCTGGACCAGGGGTCTTCAAACATTGTTACAGCGGAGCTGTTAAGGGCTAGTTTTCCCAGGATTGTGTCCGCCAGCAAACAAGCATTGACAACACTCCGGACAGCTACCACCATCTATGAGCGACGGCAGTAACCAGAAAACCGGCCTGCCAGTTGTCCGGTTGTTGCCGTCGCTCATAGATGGTGGCACATAGTACAGCTCCGCTGCTTTTCTTCACCAGGGTGGAACGGCTAAAAGATTTTGCCTCCTATTGTTTTCGCTGATGAATTTTCATGTCAGTTCTGCTACTGAATGGCCTCTTGACGGACACATACAATTCACTGAGAACAGAAACGTTCTAGACTGCCGCGTAAGGGGGCTTCAAGCTGAGAGCTCCGGATGAGTGTAGTCCCTCCCTTTGCCGCTCCGCAGAAGAAGCACCTCCACAGCCCGTACGAGATAAACCTGATGGACGAGCTAACCCTGAAGGGAGTTACGCAGTACTATGCCTTCGTTCAAGAGAGGCAGAAGGTGCACTGTCTCAACACGCTCTTCTCCAAGGTAAGCCCCACCCGGCCCGCCTGCTGGCTTCCTTCCCGTCGTTCTTTTCGCTGGGTTTGCTTCCGTGATGAGAATTCATTGTCAGTTCTGCTACTGAGGCATCGTAATGCTGACAAAACTTCTCCACTTCCTGAGTGGCAAACCCAGAAACGTATATCTGAGAATTCAATCGAGAAGGCCTCATACTTCGTTCATATCTTCTTGCGTCAGTCTATGGGCATCCATTTAATATGGGCACCTCTGGTCCCTCGAACGTTCATGGTTGTTAGGAGGGTCTTCCCTGCTGACAAAAAAAAAAAAGGAATCTCGGCTTGCCCCCGAAAAGTTTTTGTGTGTAGCGAGTTGTCCACAAATCTTGTTTGGTGTCTCGAATTGTACCGTTTGGTGTTGGATGCTGTACACCTGTTGTTGCTCTGGTGGTCTTTCAGCTGCAGATCAACCAGTCCATCATCTTCTGCAACTCGACTCAGCGAGTGGAGCTCCTGGCCAAGAAGATAACGGAGTTGGGCTACTCGTGCTACTACATCCACGCCAAGATGTCGCAACAGCACCGCAACCGCGTGTTCCACGACTTCCGCGCCGGCCTCTGCAGGAACCTAGTGTGCTCCGGTGAGGATGCCTCAACCTTCTCGCCGGTTGCCGAGGTTGTGGGAAGAATTTCCTTGGTTCATTTGGTCTCTTGGAGGGCGGCATAGTGTTTGTACAAACACGACGCAGATCTCCGACCCGAGTGCGTGACTGATTGTTGCCTTCTGGTTACGTTGGGGACGTCAAGGGTACCTCGGTTGTGGGCTGCTTCTCGGTCGACCTTTGCTCGCTTAAATCGTGCGGGTGAGGAATGACTGTAATAAGCTTACATGAATCTGTGCCCCAGAGTTTCACCTCTCTACATTTTTATGAAGCCAATAAGTGCCTAGTTTTATTAGGGATGTGCAAATACTGAGTAGTAGTTATCGAATCGAATATCGAATAAAGAAAAAAAAGCAGAATATTGAATAGTGCTTTTATTTGTAGGAATTTTTCAAAGTGTGCTGTGAATGAAATTATATGTGCAGAGTAGGCGCCTGGTGCAGAATATGTATCTCGTACGAAACAAAAGCTCAAATGTATGAAGATTCTGTTAAAAAAAAAAAGCACTTGTTGATGGACATTGGGCACTAAAGATCCAATTTTATGGCTCAAACATAATCTATCTACCCTAAGCGTCGCAAAAAACCCAAAATTACAGCCACGCGTGCTTTTTTTTAACGTTAAAAGCGCGACATAACATTGCGGCGTGTCCTTTTTTTTATTTATATATTTGAGAAAAGGGGTGTTTTGCGATATTTGGTCTCGACTTTATGGGAGAAAGGGCACCCGTTATTTTTTTTAATATAAATAAATAGCTGTTAAATCTCAGTAAAGAGGCTTAAACAATATAATCTCAAGTAAGAAAACAAACGTGGTTAGGTGGTGCAAGTCAGTCCAACTGCCGCTATACATTCATTCCTCCGTCCATCTAGCTTGTTTTAGAGAGCCTAGATTTAAAGGGGCACTGACACATAAAAATCATATTTTTTTTTATTATCCAAAACGAATAAAAACGATGCCGGGACATTACCCTCAAAATTTGAAATTTGGGAATTCAGTATTTGGAAAGTAAAAAAATAATTTCCAGATGCCGAATTCGAAGTTCCCGCGCGATCCGCGCCGGTGCCTTGACGTCATATATGGTGGAGTCCTGAGAGTCCAGAGGCCAGATTCTCAAAGCGAACTTACGACGAAAAAAATGCGTACGACAAATTTGAGAGAAAATCCGTATTCTCGAAACGAAATTGTCGTAACTTTTGCGCAGGTTACGACAAAATCCTACGACAGCTCCGAAGCTGTCTTACGCACTTTCTACGATCAAATTAACATGGCCGACAACGTCGCTCAGTTGCTTGGTCGCGACGACCCAACGGACATTTATTTTTCTACCTGCTCTTCTTGCGCGTCCCGACTTCAAGCAGCAAGAAAGAAATGAAGAAGTACTTGAAACCGACCACGACGAACATGAACGCTGGATCCAGACACCCGGAAAAGGCAACAAAGGCGACGATCCCACCGACCAAGCGAGCTCGCCAGAATATATAGGCCTAGCAGGCACTCCGACCCGTTCCGGCGCAGCATTGCTCAGACGGTCCTTGGCCAAGACCGTCTGCCCACGACCGGCTGGCTTGCTGAATGGAATATGCCCGCGCGACCCTTGTGGACCCTCCCCGTGTGAATAGTTTGATAGCTGAACTAAATTTCAGAGATCAACCGATTCCCCTTATCATCTCGATCACCTTGTTTTCCGAGGCAGCGGTGACGAACGCTGTGGTCGAAAAGGGACTCCTCGATTCTATCTCCTTGTTTTGTGTGATATAGAGCCCAAATAAACGCCGTATGGATTACCTTCGCAACACGGTATGTACACTTTGTTATTAGTATGCCATTTTTAACTGTCGAGCTGTATCAGTTTGTGGGAGCTACGTGATGCCGGTCCAACCTTTCTTTGCCGAGTGTCACGTCAGTATCGAGTTGCAATCGTAGAAGATAGGTCCCGAAGCGCTTACCGAAACGCAGTCTGAATCCAGCACTTCGATCAAACGCATGCGTCCGCTCCGAGTGTGAACAGGTATTTGCGTGACTCTTGCTGACACTCTCGTAGTTCAAACGTATCTTTTTTAACGTCGGCTCACTCCTGCATTTCCGAGGCCGCGAGAAACACCGCGGCGGTTTGTTTTCTTCTACGTCGCTTTGCAAACGACTGGCACGGAGCTTTTACCAACGATGACAGTTGTGTTGACTTCGTAGCGATCGAGTTTGTAGCAGTCGACGAAGCGTTTAAATCGTATTAGCGTCGATATACCACTGCACGGACACGAACCCCAGACAAGCGGTGGTGGAAAGGTCGCCCGTGTTTATGAGAATCAGCTTGAGCACTACACATTTACACACAGACAGGACAGGACATACACAGAGCTGTCTATCAACGAGTGGTTAGCCTGTGTTTGTTATTAAAAATCCACGTGCTCCGAACTATGCCTAGCTCTCTAATTGGTTGTCCGTTTTGCCGAAGACGCCGTTGCCATAGCAACAGCACCGGAAGTCATCGTTTCTCCGTAAGAGGTCGTAACTTTCCTCCTCTCACTTAAGAACGCGTTTATGAATACCGTTCTCGCCTCATCTTACGATGATCGTAACTTTACGAACTTCGTAGCTAAGTTGTCGTAGGTAAGAGGTTTTTTATGAATCTGGCCTCAGTTTCTTTCACGACTCCCTGCTGTTGCCAGGGCGACCCAAAGCGAGGAGGAAAGGAGCGAGCGCCGGCAGACCGGTTTTGAGCGGTGTCGCCCGTTTTCCGTGGGAGGATGCCAATCCTGGAGACGGCACCACAACAAACTCCCGATTTTTGGTATTTCAAAAAGAAGGGCCGTAGTGCGTTCGCAGTTGCGTTAAAAGACATGTTTTAGGATTGCCGTTATTAAATGTTATAGAGATGTCGCCTACAAAGCTTCCAAATTTCATGATTCTGGACGTCACGAATCAAAAGAAGTGAGGAGGCTAGGGGGGGGGGAGAATCAAACAGCAAAAATAAAAAGGCGCGCGCGCAAGTAAATTTTTTTTTCGTTATAAACTAAAAAAAAAAAAATACGACCTTTGGGGTGTCAGTGCCCTTCTAAAAGAGGGTGTAAGTGAAACTGAAACCACGGATTGGTCGTAAGTGTGCATGTGTTGTGTAGTTGCGTGGAAAGAAGTGACTCCTGCCAGATTTTTTATCTTTTTGTCACCTTCTCGCTGTTTGTAATTCGAGCGCGGCTATCGAATGGTTGGAAACACTTGCAAATCTAGGCACACTATTGTTCCGTTTCGTTCTGAATCTGAATTTGCGGCTTGCATTTCCAAAGAAACGACAACTCAGCTGGTGTCATTGGCGTGGTCGGGTGGTCGTGGTTTTCTTTTTGTTATCTTGCAGTCGCCGATTTCTGTGAGTGCGGCAAGTGTGTTCTGCAGCGGTGCTTTAATTGGAAACAAGGCCCTTTACCCGTGAAAAGAATTAGGCATGGCACGGAATTCCGGCCTCCCAACAATTCCTCTCTGGAAGCGGCGCAAACGGGATGTTTCGATTGATTCAAGGTTAGATTGCGTCACGGTCACGAGTAAATCTGCGTGCTGTAAAGTCTGGCGTTCGTTACTTTTCTTTCTTCTAACCTGCGTGTTAGATTTTTGTGGAATTTTAGGACCAAGAGGTGTTTCTTGCATGGTCTGTCGAATATCACGCGCTAACATCGGGAGAAAAAACGGGGATTCTTACTTGGGAACTTTCTATTAAATATGAATTCGAGTATTCGCACACCCCTAGTTTTTATTTTGGATGTTTTATATGTACTCCCAACCATGCAATTAAGACGGAAGTGGTGCAGTGTTTTATCTTACGGTTTGCATGACGACACAACAACATACTGTCGAAATGAAATGTAAAATTTTTTTAGCAGACTGCAGCAAAAAACGCGTGATCTGTGTTGAGGTGATCATTAATGCTCCGGGTGGCCTAATGGATGAGGCAGGAAGTAGCCACCTTATAAAAGATGATTCTGCCTGCCTCTCAGTCATACAAAGAACTTGGAAAATATTTGTCTGGGGCTTGAATTAAGGTTTCTTTTAAAGACTTTACACACGCGCCAGATTACAGCTGCCATTCCTGACATCTTGTTTTACTGAGACACAGAGCACCGAAGTGGTCATGGCGAGCGAATCTAAAATGGCAATAATCTGGCTTGCTATGGTAATGTGGTGAAGTAAACTGAAGAGGGAGCGGCCTGGTGAGGAGAGGGAGGCAGTCGATAGGTTCAACAAACCCGATGCTTCTATCGCCCTGTCGACGTGTGGGTGAGTGAAGCGTGATCGCCGACGCAATGAGGAAAGCGCGTCTCTGGGATGGCCAATCTCAAGCAAGCGCTTCATGCTTTCAGTCGTTCTTTGGCTGCACGTGATGCTTCGAAGACATGCCGAAGCTTTGTTGGAGAGTGGAAGCTTGCGCCAGGATACATGAAGTTCTTCCCTGCCATCCTCGCCTCGTCGGTAGCCACAGGGGACCTGTGTCGTGTCGAGAGACTTCTTGTGGCTCCACGATGCCAGAGTCGCACTAGAGCGTTGAACAAAAATGACCGTCGCAGACGAACCTCCAACCCGTGCAGCGCGCTCGCGACGGTACCTTTAGCAGACTTTTGGACGTTTGATGCTTGTGGAGTAAGCACGAATGATTGCGAGCCTGCCATAGGTACCTTTGCGTGCGTGATGCTAGTGTTTGAGCATTGTCTCCTTTATTCTACAGAAATCGTGAAAGAATCCGGTCCGAGGCTCGTTGCCGTCAGTTGTTTGGGTTTGGCGCTCTAGTGGGACTCTTGCTCTAGTGGGACACTGGCTTAAGAAATGCTGTTGAAAGTTGGCTCGGTTATCCTTAGTTTTGGGCCCTCTGCAGGACATGTCGAGCCCGTTCTCCCTTCCATGCGTTTCAGACCTGTTCACAAGGGGCATAGACATCCAGGCGGTGAATGTGGTGATCAACTTCGACTTCCCCAAGATGGCGGAGACGTACCTGCACAGGATCGGCCGGTCCGGGCGCTTTGGCCACCTGGGCATCGCCATCAACCTGATCACCTACGACGACCGCTTCTCCCTGCACCGCATTGAGCAGGAGCTGGGCACAGAGATCAAGCCCATCCCCAAGGTGAGGACTCTGAGACGGGCAGGAACGGGATTTATTGTTTCGGCGCTCGCCGGTGGGGGTGGGGGGTTCTATTTGCTTCTGCCGTTCTGGCAGAAGCGAATGGCATTGGGAGGGGCAATCGTTCAGCCTGGCTGTCTGTAGCGGTGCTACATACCTTTCGAAGGGTTTCTTAAATCAAAGTCGGTAATTCAATAATTTGACGCCAGCAAAACACTTCGAATATTAAAAAAGAAAAAAAATTTTTCTATGGACTTGTCACCGGGGAAGTGGATTTTCTCTTGCCTCCGCTAACAGAGACGCAGCATCCCGCTAATGAAGAGGCGCAGTATGGGCTATGCCTTGAAAATTGTGAAGCTTTTTTGGGATGCCTTCGCCAGCTCCTTTGCTAAAGAAAACTCAAAATTCTACTGTGGTGCCACGAGCAAAGTCCGCATCAGCAGCATTCGGGAACTCTCTCGAAAAGTGGTGCAATCATTCCTAGGCCTAACCACTTGCACGATGTCAGTGGCCGAAAGCGAACTACTAACCACCGCATTTTTGTTGACATCAGTATGAGCAAAGTATCTTGTAGGGCTGACCAATACCTCGATCCGAGCTTTGTTGGCTGTACATGCTGCTCTCGCTTCTGTAGTTAACGTGGAAACGACGCCACGATGGGTGTTCCTGCAGCCATGCTGGCTTGGCGTGGATTGACCGCTTAATTGGCTTAACCACCTCACATCTTGTAGTGCACCTTATTTGTTCCCTTTTCCGAACCATATACACAGTAGGCGATAGTGTGTGTAGGTGCGATGAGATTTAAGCTGGTCAGTGCAATTCTGAGGCTTTTTCATGCTCCCAGAAATAGTAGCCAGAGAAAACCGCAAAGAAGACTCGTGGTCAAATGGACAAGACTCAAACACAGCGCTGACTTCGTTTTCTTTGTGTATGTATTGAAAATGAGAAAGAAAACGGTCGTAAGCCGGCACTGTGTTTGTGTCTTCCGTTCCTTGTGCCTTCCTCACACTTTTTGCTCCTGTTAGCAAAATGCACAGACTGCTCACCTTCAAACTTGTTCCAGAGGTGTCGGTCTTCTCGAGCACATAAAAAAAAGAAATCCTCGGAATTAACCTGTCACACAGGTTAAACTTCGAATTGCCGCACATTTTTTCCCATAGACTCGTATGCGTGTTTGCCGGGACTGCACCCCTTCTTCGAACTGACCGGTAATTCTAACAAAGCGACTGAATTACCGAGAGTAGACTTTAACACCGTTTTAGATTGTGCGCAGGTGACTGAAGGAGGCACGAGTGGGGTTGGAAGCTAAGCTTCTTGTTTTGTGGCGACGACTCGCTCTACGACAAGGAATGACAGGAATGTGGCACGGGTGTCCAACCGAGGCATTTCATAGCAAAACGTTCTGTACACCGTAAAATGCGTGTCGAGCAACCTCCTAGGTTGCTCATCCTGTTTTTCGAGCGAAACATCCAGGGGGTGAAGAATTCAAAAACCTCTCACATCCTGCGACGTCCAAATGGACTCCCTCTGTCGGCCAGGCCCCGCACCATAAGACTATATACAGTGTAGACCGCATATAACGTATGTCGCGGGAGTCGCGAAAACCCGCACTATAAGCGATACCGCGCTATAACCAAAACATCAATTTTTCAGGCCAAAATACATGCCATGAGACAACTTACCTTTGTAAAAGAATTTATTTTATGTTAGATGCAAAATAAAGCTTAGTTTGAGGAAAGTCTTTATTTGACCAGACTAGTACAGTTCTGTCTCAAGTGTTTCACACATTTTGAAAGAAATGACCCTTTTAACGGCGTCGCGGGTTGCGGACGGACGTTGCGAGCGTTCAGGATTGCTAACCCTAATCACTTTTCTCCGGAGATGAAAACGCGTGAAAATTCGCATCCTTCATACGGTACGCGCCAGTAATACCTTGAACTTGAGCACACGCATGAAATGCGCCAAATAAGAAATCCGGGAGATGCTCGAGGACACAAATGCTTAGAAAGCACCACTGTAGTCGAAGTAAACAAACACGACGACACGGGCGTTTCTGCCGTCTTGAGAGCGCCGCCACGACATCGCCGCACGAGTAGGTGGATCTTCCCTTCTAGTATGTGCTGGGTTATCATAGCGACACACAACGAAAATTCACTGTCAAGGATAGCACTTTTACGCGGAACGATGAGATGAACGCCGTCTAGACGACGATCACAACCGACACCATGTTTGCGGATAGAAGCAGCCGGCCTGCGACCGGAGGAGAAGCGTTGTATTAGAGGTTGGAGGAGAGAAGCGTTGTAATAGAGGTTGGGGGGGAAAGGAGAGAGCCAATACTGTGCACGCACTGGGCGCTTGGTCACTGGCTCTTAGAGGTTGGGGGGGGAAAGCGCGCGAACACTTCTCCTCGACCTGCGATTGGTCTGTCGTTGTGGTTGTTTTCCAACGCAGCGGAGGGACGCACGCACGTGAACGACACGTGCGTGCGTCCCTCTGTCGCTATGGCGACTGAAGCCTCTCTCTTCGCTTATCCCCACTCCTTCGAGCAACCTCTTTGCCTCGCGAGTGCCGTTTGCGGCTCGCGCCGTCAGCGCCGTTGTCTAGTGTAGTACAGGGAAGCGTGCCCGCTGCTCCGGTCGTCGGCGCGATCGGCGGGCTGTGCCAAAAACCGCGCTATAACCGGTATTTCCCTTCGCGCGCCTGCATTTTAAGCGGTATGTAATTACATGGAGTTCTATGGGAGGCAAACCGGTGGTTTAAAAAAACCGCGTTATACCCGGTCCTGCACTATAAGCGGTTACGTTGTAAGTGGTCTATACTGTTTAATGAACTCGAAACATGCTACTTGGCCCGAGCCCGACCAGTGGGCTGAGCTGAGGGGTAGCTCTTAGTTTCTTGTGTCTGGAGTGTGTGTTCTGCTACAAGCATGTACTCCCCCAGCCAGGTCCCGGACCTGGTAAGTTCGCTTTCCACGGCTAGTTCAACATGCAAGAACTTGCCATGACTCTCGTGTCACCGGGATTGATACCGCGCAGCAGGTTTGCAATCCGTAGCTCCGTGACACGCGGGAAACCGCAACAGATTGCCTTGTTGCAGGTACCAGTAACATGTGTCATGATGTGTGTGAGGAATGGTGGGGGTGGACCGTTTCAGAATTTTTAACCTATTTATATTCTGCCAAGAGAACGGAATGGGCGACCTCTCAGGGAGGGGGGTTGCGTTCGTACGAGACTTTATGGTCGTACTTCTTATCCTCGCCTCGTGAACCATGGTAGGAAAAGTCGGGCTCTGCATGGAGTGTCACTTGTTTCCTTGTGAATTTCGATAGTTTTAGTAGGCATTTAAGATTTGGTTGTTGTTATTTTATCATAATATTAGCCTTCCTTGCTGGCTAACAAATATTTTGAGCACTATTTCATGCTGTACAAACCACGCACAAATCCTTTTGTTTTGGAGATCTGCCTCGATATGACGAGCGAGGCACCCTTTCCAAGTTCCCTAGTTGTGGGCCAGGCTGTTGCATTTTCAGTGTTAGGCTGAAAAAAACTGCCTTTTTCTTTGTCATGATGAGCATACAGTCAGTTCTGCTACCTATGGAGCAGTGCGGACAACAATGCAGCTGACGACCTTGGGCTTCCGGGTGACGATGGCAGACACGAGGGGGATGATTCTCAGCATCATGTTTTCTTCTTTCCCAGGTCATTGACAAGAACCTTTATGTGGCAGACCTGCAGATGGAGGATCCAGAAGCAAACGCCAACAAATAGACAAGTCGTCTCTTCAGTAGTGCAAAACTGTGGTAAGTGTGCCGAAGCCCGTTTCGGTCTGGTCCGATTGGCCATCCCGTTTGAGGAAGGGATTGTTGGAACTCTTAGCTTGTAGGTAGGGCGCTTAGTCTTCGACCGAAAGCGTCGCTGCGGTGCCACCACCACGATTGTTGCAGGCAACGTTGTAAGGCAGAAATTGAGAGACCACTTCTGAGGATGCGGGTAAACGCTTGTTTAGGGTTCGCGTGACACTCGGAAATGCTGGTTTAGGGGTCAGTTTGACCAAGAGTTTTATGAAGCTACTAAATGGGACTGCTGTGAGCAAGGTGCCGGTTTGCCAATTTTTGCGTGTTTCTGACCCTAATCGAATTGTGATTTACTAAATATTGAATCTTGACTTTAGGATGCCCGCTACTGGAGTTTTCAAAATATTCAAAGTGTTTTATATGGTAAAACCACATCCACACAATCCCTGTATGTTTTACCAGCTGTTGTGCTTAAGGGCAACTTTGCTTAAGGGGGCACTTGGGTTTGTAGGCTAACTTCAAAAGTTCTAAAGCTAGGCTAATGAAATTTACAGCACTTTCTTGCTTTGTTAAGAAGGTAAACTAGAAATTTTGGAGCCTTTCTGATCATTAGTTTGTCAAATATGTTAATATGCATATTGATGGTTTGTGCAGGCTCCACAAATCTAATAACATTCTGCATCATGATGAATGTTGGTGTCTACCACCCCAAGACATGACTCCAGGGGGTGAAACTATTGGCATATTTTTCAGGTGCATAGAAAAAAATTTTTGTCATGAAAGAAATATTAGCACTGTACTCTCGAATTTCACCAAAAGTTTGTACAACTATGGTAAAAGCTAGAGGTCATAAACTAATTATCTAATAGTTTCACCCCCTGCACATTTTATTTAGGAACAAATCACAGTAAACAGAACTAAATTCGAATCAATAGTTTTCGAGATATCCCATGCACAAGCGAACCAGGTGGCGGAAAAACGCGTGTCGAGAAAAACGACAAAGAAGACGAAAGTCTACAGTTTAGAGTCAAATCGTGTAATATTGCCTTAAAATTTATTCTGGTTGTTTAACAGTCATATTTACAGAAGGAGAGAATAGTAGAAGTTATTTAGGCACATTAAAAAATATTTTAAAAAGTTTGTTTCTGTGCAAGTTTTGCCATTGAAAGTAAAAAATATATAATTTTCTTTCGAAAAAAAAAAAAAAAAGACAATTGACCACAAATTCAGGCTAGCTTCGTATTAGGAGAAAGGTCCTAGAAATTCTCCGCAGAAAACAATAAAATTGGACGAGCAGTGTTCAAGTTGACAAACACCAAATTGTGAAAAAGTGTGTCTCGAGAAAACAAAATTTGAAGATCCAAGCCCCACATTTCTCACTTCCACCTCAGAAGCCCCCTGGGCAATAGTCTCGACTGTCTGCTCTGGCTGCATTCTTCCTGGTACCTGTTTGCAGCGATCTCTTTCTTTTTTGTGCGTTCTTCAGCCTTAGTCTGTCTTTCTCTTGGGCCCTTTGCATAGTAAGTTTACCTCGCTTGAGATCCAGCTCCTCAGACAGTTCCTGTGCACTTCTCGCACAACCAGTGTTGAAGCGGCAAACAGCGTCTGCGACTCCGGTTTCCACTGTGAACAGCGATGCATGTTCTTCTTTTTCGAGGAGCGACCAGATTACTGAATGAAGAGATTCTGCCGAGTTTTGGGTCTTGGCTCCTGTGCATCTTTGCAGCAGTTCAGGATCGGACAGTCTCCTGTAAACAGGGAACATAGCCGTGGTCACATGTGGAGGGAGCTTGTACTTGTGCGGTGGAGGTGCTTTTCCTTCAGCTTCAGCCCTGCGGTGTGCACACCAAGAGTCCTTGCCAGAAGGGCAAAGGTCATGCTGAGGGTTCTCGTCGGTTGATGTGACGTGGTGGAAGGTAGCCATAATTGCTTGCTGCATGTCTTCCACTTTGCTTGCATTGCTTTTCAAGGCCCAAGAATAATAGTTAGTCAGGCGCTTGATCAGGTCTTGTGTGAGACGCCCTTTTCCACCCATTGGTTTTTGAGTTTTGTTCTTTTCCACAAGCCCCCGGAGTGCTGAACCCATGCGCTTAGCAACATGGTTCACACATTCCTCTTTGGTGATTGGGAACAACCCATACACGTTGTCCTGGCAGAGAGCCTGGTGCGTTCTGCAATCCCCATCCGAGACGATCGTCGTGTATCTCAGCTCGTGGAGACTGAGAGACCTCCGGAAGAGAAGCATTGCGGCTTCTACCTCCATTCTTCCGGACTTCACGGTGGTGTTCTGTTGACACTCATGTTCCTCCTTCCAATCTTGGTATGTAGCGTCACCAGGCTTGGGGCTAGTCTCGCACCCAAGACAGAAGTTTGAAAGAACGGCAGAGTCAAGTACGAGACCTGTGTAATACTCTATAACAGTTCCCACACCAATACGAGAAGAGTGCCCTCGCTTCTTCCACGACCCATCATAAACAACAGTAATGTTCCCAGTGAAGGTAGGATCAAGCTCCTTGTACACGTCCTTCACAATGGCAGCAGCTTCTGCACAGATGGTTGCCGACATGGCCTTTGCTGCCTGCAGAAAATACTTCTTGAGGTGCTCTTGATAGGTTTTTTGATGCAGCCCCCTGTGTGAAACGTTCAGTGTGGCAAAGAAATCATTTAGAGCAGTTTGGCCTTTGCCAATTCCCTTGATCGCTTGCATGGCTCTAATGTTGACATCAAACGCTTTTGAACTTTCCAGCCGGGGTGAGGACCAGAAAGCATTGCTTTCTCCACATGCAGAGCAGCTAACAATAAACTTCACAGCCAGGCCGTGCTCTGTTGACGTTTTTATAGTTAGGCCGGCTTCCTTGCATTGGCTACAGACAGACGCAGTCGCAAGCATGCTGCTAATTGTGTCCATATCTGTGACTACATACCGAGATGCAGTCTCATTAGTGACGGACACCTCGTCGTGTTTGGAAGTCAGTGAAAACTTGCGCTCGGTGGCCGCCGTTGTCGTCAGCTTTTCGCGGCCTTTCTCGACTCGGTCAGCAATTGCCCGCGCCTCATCTGGCTCCATGTAGCTCGTTTGCAAATGGGCAATCACTGTTCCACCTCCCACTCTGTCGCAAGAGGTGCTACATCCACTCTCTTGAGTCGAAATCACGTCTTGCGAAGGCAGAATCGCGGAACTCGGCGCACTTTCGGTGGTTTCAGATTGGCCGCTGTTGCACAAAGAGTTTCGTTTTTGAAGATCGGCGTTCCACCATTTCCGTTTTTTCGAGCCGAATTGTTCACGCGTTTTGCGTTTCTTCTTGAAAGGTCGGTTCGGCATGGCGAGAAATCACCTGCGAGCCCACGAATGAGATCGCACAAACCTTTCACAGCCGCGGTAACGCAAACGAAAGTGTGGAACAAGCGCGCGCGACGGCAGACGACAACAGGAGCGGCGAGCGGCGGAAGAGCGCACGCGGCGCGCGCGCCGAAGCGGCAGGCGAGAGGGAGCCGGTTGCCGTGGCAACGGCCAACGGAGGCGCGTTCTATTGTCACGTGCTCGAACGAGCCAATAAGCGCGGGTGCAAGGCGTCGCGCATTTCGACACTTTGTACTCTTCCCAGACAACCCAGGATCACCGGAGTGACTCCGCCGGAAAGCGAAGAATGCGCTCTTTCGAACGCGCCCAAGATGGAGGCGATCAGTCGCGCCGTTCGCGCTCGGGCGTTTTTTTAAATTTGCGCATTTTTCCGTGATTTTCATGCTCACCCAGTAAGTTTATTGTTAATTTTACATTACTTAGCGACTTTGTGAAGCCATGAAACTTTTGTACTGGTTTCATAACACCGAAAATGATATGAAAAAAATACTTTTACAAAATCGACAATTAGCCGATTTTTTGGTCCCCCAAACCCGCGTGCCCCCTTAATTACGTAAATTTGAGATAATAAGTGATTTCACATAAAAAGCACTAATCAAAGACAATACGTCATTTGTTTCGCGAGAAATGGAATTCGCGACTCCAGCAAAACGGACGCCGCCAAGCGGGAAAACCGGGAACCAGCCGGTCCAGGTCGATCCGCGCCCCTCCGCGTCTCTGGTGGCTTTCGCGGAGACGTGTTGTCGGCGCGATAACGAACAATGTAATTTGACGAAGGTCCGAATATTTCTTAAGTTTGCCTGAGTGATCATTAGTGTGGTGAAGCCTCAGTAGATTGTTTTCTTCTATTACGTGTTTGAAAGCCCGTTTACTCCACAGCACACGGTCGCGTGCTTTCGATTTCTTGGATGGGGAGGAATCACGGAAAAACTTTCTGATTTCTTGTCTGTCTCGAATCACATTCAAAGTGACGACTGCTTGGTAACTGATACTGGAGGGAACATCAACGTTGCAGTCAAGTGAATGGGAAGGTTTGATAGCTGCTTTTCTTGAGTTCGGTTGTGTTCGGTTAGCTTCAAGTTTGAGCCACCCACGCCGGTCGGTGCGTTGGCTATTCATTTTGGCTGCTTTTCGCCCAAAAAGCCTCTGGACCACAGTGAAGGAGTTGGGCTGATTTCGCAATTACTTGATTCAGGAAAACTTGCTCGCTGCCCATGATGAATGAGGGAAATTATCTGTTTTCAAAAGGTGGGAGACAAGTCTCGCAACGTTAGATGCTGTCACGGCATTTTGACCTACCGCGCCTCCAATATTTATATTACGAGGACGTCGAAGCCAGCAGCAATATACGTCTACATTGGTCAGGTTGACCGGCCACAAAAAAATACTAATTTTCTCCGTTCAGGATTCGAAGCAAAGTTAAATGCAGAGAGGTTCTGCGTGGATCTTCAATGAAGACTCTCTTCAGTTTGTCTCCGTGCTGCCGGCTATAGAACCATTTGGCTAAGTTTAAATAGTATGTCTCCGTCTGTCAAATACACTTTTATTCAGCAGCTCACCTAATAGCTAGTCAACTAAGCTCATATTTCAACCCGAAGAATATGCAAATATCGCTTTAGTGGGACATAGTACGTAATATAATACA